TTTTTTATCTAATTTTTTTTTTAAATAAATCGCCACATCACCAATTTTTACCCATTAGTGAACAGTATCAGGTCACAATTTTTACGTGTGCAACAAGTAAGTTAGTTCGATGTTTAATATGTTATTGTTATAAGTTTCATATTTGTATACTATCTTAATACATCAAGTATTTTAAAATGGAAATATATTCCAAAAGAAGATACCGTAATACCATTTGAGAAAAATACATCAACAACACCCGCAAATGATTTTTTTTTGTTTGTAAAAACACCCGTCAAATGTTCCTATAATGATAATTATAAGTTTTGGCACTACATCAACAAAAGCTTTAAAAATTTCTTACGTTCAGTGTCGTGGCCAACAAAAGTCCAGAAAGTTATAACGTATATCTCTGATCAGCTACTCATCCCAGGAAAAATAAAGAAAATAAATAAATTCAGCAATTAAAAAAATAAAAATAAATTTATAAATTCAAAAGTTTATAGTAAAAGTAAATAGTAAAAATCGATTAAAAGTAACAAAAGAGTAAAAGTAAAAAAAAAATAGAAATAAAAAAATTGTAAAAATCGGTAAAAATTAGAAAACAGGAAATTTATAAAAATTTGGAAAAATAAAACTTTAAAAATAAAATTAAAATTAAAAAAATTCAAAAAGATCGATAAAAATTAGGAAAATTTAATAAAATCAAGGAAAATAAAAATTCAAAAATTCAAAAAAAATAAAATGCTGAAATTGAAAACTAATAAATATCAAGAAAAAATAAATTTATGAATTCAAAAAAATAATAATAATAAAAAAAATAAATTATACAAATTGATTAAAAATTAAGAAAAAATCTGAAAAAAAAAGAAAACCATAAAAGTGGAAAAATTGGCAAAAACCCATGAAATTGACAAAAGTTTTGAATCCAAATCTCTAGGAGAAGGATCTGAACCCGGACATCTGAACGCTTATATGTCTACCTAAACACCCAAGAGGTTTGGGTCAAGTACTTTTCATTTTCAATTTTAATATTTTGATATTTTTATTTTTTTTCCAGCTTTTTATAACTTCATATTTTCTATTTTTTCATCGATTTTTACACTTTTTTTTATTTTATTTTTCTTTTATTATTTTTACTATTTTGTTAGTTTTAATCGATTTTTACTATTTATTTTTATTTTTATTATAAACTTTTAAATTTATAAATTTATTTTTAGTTTGTAAAATTTCTGAATTTTATTTATTTTCTTATTTTTTCTGAATTTATATCAATTTTTTTTAAAATAAATCGCCACATCACCAATTTTTACCCACTAGTGAACAATATCAGGTCACAATTTTAATAGATCTTCAACCTTGGAAGGTTCCTCAGTCTTCTTCTCCACCTTAGAGGTATCCACTTCCATAGGTTCTTTCTTGTCTGCCACGACTTCTCCCTCCTTGTTATCCACTTCAGAGGTCTCCACATCCATAGGCTCCTTAGCATCAGTCTTCTCACCCTCCTTGTTCTCCTTCTCAGCCTCTGCAATTTCTGCTTGCCCCTCATCCTTCTCACCCTCTTTGTTCTCCTTCACAGCAAACTCTCCATTCTCCGCCTCTCCCTTCTTGTCAGCCTCCACATTCTCCTTAGCAACAGCCACATCTTCTTGTGCCTCTTCGTCTTTCTCCTCAACAACAGCAGCCACTTTAGTGCAACCCTTACTGAGAGAAGAGCGTCTTTTCTTCACGGGAGGCTCTTTGTCATCAGGAGTGGGCGTTGTAGCCTTCATCTTTTGACTGATCCTTGCAGATCTCCTTGGAGTCTCCCCATTAGACCAATCAAAGTCAGTGATGTCCGGGTTCCCCGGATGAGCCTTGAGGTACTTCTCAAGCTGCTTGGGTGACTTGATCTTTTCAC